ATTTTGGATTAAAAGAAGATCATATTAGTTATGAATGAGAATATTATCAGAATTTCATCGAAATAAACGATGTTTGTGTTTGGTATTTTGTATGAGAATGTTACCGAATTTGGGGGTGTACATAGGTTGGCATGAATTGGGTTGAAAAAATCTTTTAGATGAACTCGAAATTTTTAGTTGGTTGGATTGGTGACTCAAGTAACCCGAATAGAGTTCACGACACAACCAAACTCAACTCTCTATTTTCGGGTTGGGTTGGGATAGGTCGTCGGATTGTTTTCTTAAAAAAATTATTTATCCACAATATATCTTACATTAATAACTAAAATGTCATCAAATTCAAATATCAAATATTTATAACTCATTACCCATCACTAATAACATCAGTTGTTAAATATTCTGAAATCTTTTTGAAAGTAAGATAGGGTTGAGTTGTAACCCTATTTTTCAAGGTGATCGGGTTGACCCGTCTTAAAAATTGTCAACCTGCAAACCAAACCAAATTTTCAATTTTCTAAAAATTAAACCCAACCTAAACCGAAAAAAATTCTAATTCAACCCAACTTTTATTGTTTGGATTGGATAGTCTAAGTTAATTAGTTTATCTGATCATACGAACATCCCTAATTAAATTTTACTGAAATATAACAATTATATTTGTGTTTGGTCAATCCCATTGCTTTAGTTTATTTTCAAATTTCTTTCCTACCTTTTAAAAATATATTTTTTAAAATAAGACTTAAAAAAGATATGAAAGTGCCTCGAAAAAAAGAGCAAGCAATAACCTTTTTTTTATTTCATTGAAAAAGTACAATTAGAATTAAAAAGGCACAAAAAGCAAGCAAAATTGTTCATTCTTCTTTCATTCTTCAAGCACTCCACGAGCTGCCTCTATCCAACTTCATGTTTCTCCATCTTGAGAACAAAACAAAGGAAAAAGAGAAATATTTTGTTAAAAATCAAACTTGATCAATGTTCAAACAAGCCTCGGGCTCTCTCTTCTCAAGAACGCCGAAGAAATCTCTTTAAAAACGATCTCTTCCCGTGACTGACTCTGATACCATTTGTAACAGTTCAAGCTTACTGCTAGCAAATATTGTCCGTTTTTGCTTATTACGTATCACTGTCAGCTTCACAGATTTAAAACACGTCAACTGGAAATAGATTTCCACACTCTTATAAGGAATGATTCGTTTTCCCCTCCAACCACGGTGGGATCTCACATTTTTTTCGATCTCAGTTAAAGAACGTCGACTATGAACAAGTGAGAATTATCCTCGCGATTGTTCTCCATTAATTGTCATCTCACTTGGGTTTTTACTCTCGATCCCACTAAACTACATCGGGCTAGTATCCTGATCTTAGAAATCTTAAAATGTTTTAGGGATCGAAAATTGAAAAAGAGTGAAATTCAAAGGAAACTATCATCGTTCTCGTAATGACAGTTCAAACGTTTCACACTTGCGTTAAATTTTGAATAAAATCTATACATATTACCTCTTCTCAATCATCTGGACCTTCCATATGGGAAAGGAACTTCACCAGACTCAATTTGCTTGACATCCTTCAAAAGAAGTTGGTAGTGCCTCTTCACTTCCTCTTCGGTTTTCCCACCAATGGCCTTAGCAACATTGAGCCATCGCTCAGGTGTGTCTTGATCATACACAGCCAAAGCCTTCTCAAAGGCTTTGTTTTGCTTTGCAGTCCATGAACCACCTGACCCATGAGCAGACATTGAAGCCATAATTAAGGGGTTAGAATCAAAGAGGCCTCTAAAGTTTTATGATGGGTACCAAACACAAGGCTGTGGGTACTCTTTATATATATGCTGGAAAAGCGAGGGTATCTTTTGACATTACAAAAGGAATTTTAATGATTTGTGTCCTTAGAAACCACAAAATGTTGTTAGAACAAAAGACACACAACAATTGGAGATGGTGAGAGAATCAGAATCTCGGGTAGAGTTTCTGTTTCTCGAAAACCAAAATCTTGAAATGTTAACTTGTGGGCCAAGTATCCTTGTTGGCACACGGCTTCTTTCTAGCTTTTATATCATTGTAACCGTCTAAAATCATATTGTCCGTTTTGGTCCGTTATGTATAGCCATCAGCCTCATAGTTTTAAAACGTATCTGCTACGGGAAAGTTTTCTCGTTTATATAATAAATATTTTGTTCCTCTCTCCAAGGAATCTCAGTCTATTCGTCCATAAATTTTAAAAATCGAAATTTATTAAATACAAAATTAAAAATTGAAAGTTCATAAATTAAATAGACACAAATCTCAAAATTTTAGATCTAGTAATTTTTGTACGATCTTTTATTTTAAGGGTTATATATATTTTATTCCATTTGAAAAGAATTTATTGTTTATTCTTGAAAACTTTAGTATTTGATCACATTCACAATATATTTTCAACCTAGAAAAAGAAAAGGACCCAACTTTATAGCAATAGGCTACCCTAGATATCTATTGGAATATAATAGGCGTAGCTTGGGGAAACAAAGGCATAAGGATCATAAAAGCTATGGCTGTCCTGCCATTAGTTACGGCTAGTTGCAACTTGTGAGCTAGCTAGGACCGTCCCAAAGCATATGGGGAATAGTCCTTTGTACCATTCATGGATGTAGGAGAATTTCTTCTTTTCGAATCACGTAGATCTTTGTCTTTTTGTTTAATTTATGTTTGTGGGTGTGTGAGAGCGATCGATCTTGCTTCCACTTCTGTTACAACAGTTGGTCTATGAGAATAGTCAAGTTGAGACCCCATTAAAATGTAGATAGAATATTACAAATTTTATGTAATAGCTCAAGCCCATCGCTAGCAAATATTGTCCGTTTTATCCCGTTACGTATCGTTGTTAGTCTCACGATTTTACAACACGTCTGCTAGGGAGAGGTTTCCACACTCTTAAATGTTTGGTTGACCTCTCCAACCTATGTGGGATCTCACAATCCACCCTCCTTAGGGGTCAACATCTCGGTGGCACACCGCCTGGTGTGGTTTCTGACTTTGATACCATTTTTAACCGTCCAAACCTACCGATATCAAATATTGTCCGCTTTGGCACGTTACGATCGCCGTCAGCCTCACGATTTTAAAACACATCTGCTAGAAAGAGACTTGCACACTTTTATAAGGAATGTTTCGTCCCTTTCTCCAACTAACATGAGATCTCACATTTTTATATCTCATCAAATTAAATCTGTGGGTTCATTGATTATTTACTCAGTTATTACAACAAGTCTAATGTCATTTCCCTCTCAGATTAAATTGTCAGTTTTTGGGTTCGATGAAGTTTTTACAAGAATGTTTTTCATTTTTCCACACGACTTGACAAGATCGTTACCAAAATGAATGTGTTCGAAGAAGAAAGCTATTAAAGAATAAGATGACAACTTACAACATGTTGAAATTCGTTAGAGATGAATATAGGAGTCGGTATTAGGGTTATAGCTCGAGCTATTACCAATATTAGTTGAAAACTACATGAAATAAACTCTTGCAAGGAATCTCCTCAAAATGAAATTGATGGCTAAGGACTTAGACATACCCTCCAACCAATGCTTAGAATCTTTATCATCCCCAATTCTTCCCTCCAATTGAAAGCAATAATTATATCTTCGAATCTTCCATTTCTTGTAGGAACTATATTCATTACAAGTATGGACCTTGAATATTTAGTTCAAGTTGGATGATAATGTGTTCATATTTCACTAAGAACGGGAGAAATCTTTTTTAATAACCTTATTAAAAATGATCCTAAAGCTTAGTTTAAAGGTTATTAATCAATCCAAATCATAATTTAGTGTTACTAGCTAGTGTTTATTCCAATGTCGTTCTTAATTCTTGTTCGATCCATCTAAAACTTGTCTAAAGCTAAAAACACAAAGATCTAAAGGTTATAAAAGACTCTAAAGCACTTTTCTTCCATCCGATAGAAGTTCAAATAGATCGTTGCCTACTAGTTCTTATTGAAGCGTTGGTTCGTGTTCAAACACGTTTAAAATTGTATATTATGAACTATACTGGTTATGGCTAATCAGATCTAATGTTGCTTAAGGTGTGGGTCACCGCTGAAAGTCATCTCCTAATTCAAAATGGCTAATTGAATTGAGTAGCTAGTGTTATGCCATTGTATCACAATTTTCAATGCTCTTATACCACTTATTGTAGCGGAAGCGGAAGAAAGATCGATCACACTCACACACCCACAAACAGAAATTAAACAAAGAGATACAAAGATTTACATGGTTCGAGATAGAAATTTCTCTACATCCACGGATGATAGCCAATCAATATAGCCAAAGGATTTACAAGTGTATCTCTCATACTCTTGTACTCAAAGTCTCTCATCAAAGTTCTTCTTAATTGCCTCTAGCAAATACAAAATGACAATGACTCTACGTCTCAAAATAATGAGAGACAAGCTTTTATATAGACATAACAATACTTTAACTCTTGTTCTTAATCTTCATCTCTCTCGATATCTCACCACCGTCAGTCCATTTTGGTCTATTATGTATTATCATTAGTCTCACGGTTTTAAAACGTATCTGTTAGAGAGAGGTTTTCACACTCTTGTAAGGAATATTTCGTTCCTCTCTCTAACCAATGTGAGATCTCACAATCCACCCCGTTGGGAGTCAGCGTCCTCGTTGACACACCGCCCAGTGGTGTTTGACTATAATACCATTTGTAACAGCTCAAGCCCACCGCTATAGTAGATATTGTCCGCTTTGGCCTGTTACGTATCGTCATCAGCCTTACGGTTTTTAAAACGCATCTACTAGAGAGATTTTCACACTCTTATAAAAAAATGTTTCATTCTCCTCTCCAATCTCCAAAGTGATTCAAGCTACTCAACCATCGTAAATAAATATTCTAAATGTTGAAAATAAGTTTTGTCCATGTTGTAAACTAAACACAAAACCCTCGATCTCAAAAATCATAATATTGGTGGTTTGATTGAATAATAAACTCATAAAGGCCAGACAAAACTGTTGATGAGTGGTACTAACACCAAGAAATCATATTCATTCGAGTATTACAACTACATTTTAAGGGATACAACCACAGAGAACTTCAAATTTTTTCATGAAAATTCCAAAGAAAAAAGAAAAAAAAAAATGGATAGATCAGCAAGAAAATGGCTTTCTTCTTCTTATTCTTCCAGCATGGAACTTCATGTTTCTCATCCTGCAAAATTCAAAGGAACAATAAATATTGTTTAAAAATTAAACTCAAGAACTAATGGCTGAGTTTAGTGTTCTTCTTGAAACATGTAGTCATCAGCTTAAAAAAATAAACTCGAGCTCTCGGGTGATCGTAAATTTAATTATATCAATATTTTAACAAGGACGTCAGACAACTGTCCTATCCCAATTCATCGTACATTTAAATACTATATAAAAAGTCGAGATTTTAAAGTTTTTTCTCAATCTATACAGAAAAACTTACTGTTCATTCATATCATTTTGCATTTGGTTTGATTGGATTGTGACATTTTTTTAGACGTAACCTAGTTGTTGAGAGTTGCCATATTTTCAACCAAATAACTCTTATTAAATAATGAACTCAACCCAACCATAAACTTTTTGGGTCGGATTGGTTCATGATCTTTAGGTCATTTATTTAATTTTTTATTTTTAATAAAAGTAAAATATCTATTTAAGTCAGATTCACCACTCTAATTGAATATATACTTTGAAAAATTACCTTCTAAATAGTTTAAAAATGGTTCTTAAGAGTTATTGAAGAATAAATAATAAAAAAAATTTAAAATATTTCAGTTCTTTCAATTCCGTTCAACTTAATCTAGTTTTACGAGAACCCATAAATCAACTTAACCCATAAAATTTTTATTTATCTGAATTCATTTCAACCCAAATAAGTTCAAAACTCAAACGGAGGTGGATCCAATTTTCTTGCTTGATCATCAATTAGTGGCACTAAATTGGGAGCTATTACCTTAATCATCATCAATGAGTAGCATTAACTTCCTCTTGAGCTTCGATAAGGAAAAGGAACCTTGCCAGACTCAATATGCTTAACATCCTCCACAAGAACTTGGTAATGCCTTTTCACTTCCTCTTCAGTTTTTCCACCAATGGCCTTAGCAACATTCAGCCATCGATCAGGTCTGTCTTGATCATACATTGCCAAAGCCTCTTCAAACGCCTTGTTTTGCTTTGCAGTCCATACACCCGACCCATGAGCGGACATTGAAGCCATTGATGATATTGCTAAGTTTGAGGAGATTTGGCTAAAAAAAACAACACAAAAATGGGAAAGCTTTAATGGGTTTGAAAAAGAATTCAAATTTTGCAAGGAAAAGATGAATGGATTTGTGCCAAAGAGCTACACCTTTGGTGCTCTTTATAAGAGGAAGCCAAAGGGTAATGAACCAAGTTGGGGTGTAAAGGGAAATCTTTTTGTGTAGTTGAACAGGGAATGTCAATGATTTGTGTGTTTATAAACCACAAGATGTAGTAAGGACAAAACACAACAATTGGGAGATGGAGAATCAGTATCTTGCTTCCAAAATTTTGAGAAAATGCAATATTATAATGATGTTTTGAAGAAATTGATATACTTAGAAACTAGAACATATCAATTTATTTTGTTTGATGATTGTAGGTTAGGGAATAAAGATGAGAAACCACACCAAGACAAGAGAGAGGTCCATTTAAAAGGTCTATTTTTATTATTATTAAAGATTTCAAGGAGAATGAGATGCTTGAAAAGGGTATGTATGGTAAAACTAGTGCTACAATTTCCTCAAAATATTAATGAAGTTAAAGTCGTGAGAATAAATATGAATTTTCTAGTTAAAAGAAATTAGTTGTGACGGCTCATTAAAGGAGGGTTATGCAAATGAATCGATATTGCATTTAAATGAGAGTGATCATAAGAATAGGATGATTATGACTATGAAAGGTTTAAAATAATTGAAAGTTATTACCTAGTAGATATTGTCTGCTTTGGCCCGTTACTTATCGTAGTCAACCTCACAGTTTTAAAACGCGTCTGCTAGGGAGAGGTTTCCACACTGTTATAAGAAATGTTTTGTTTTTCTCTCTCCGACTGATGTGGGATCTCATAATCCCTCCCCCTTGGAGGCCTAGTGTCCTCGCTAGCACACCCACCCGATGTCTGGCTCCAATACCATTATAATAGTCTAGGTCTATCACTAATAGATATTGTCCGCTTTAAAGTATTACGTATCATTGTCAGTCTCACGATTATAAAACGTGTTCATTAGGAAGAGGTTTCCACACCCTTATAAGGTTCACCTTTTTTTTCGGTGGTTCAATCATAAGAATTTCAAAGTCAACAATTCTATGTCGAATGACCTGTTCGTAATTTTTCTAAGAAGCACGTAAAGAGAAGTAAGTAACATGACAATCTAACAGGGGGATGTTGGAAAATGTCGGAGTTATCAAATGTCGAATCCTAGACCTGGGGCGTTACACTAGCAAGTGAAATAATTTTATAGAAAAAAACAACCATTAGTTTTGGAATATCAATATAGTCCCTCATAAAGGTTGTATACTTCAATCAAATTGGGAATAATTTATTGATTTATATGCCCACTTTATGAATTGTATATGATTGGGGGAATTCAATCATACTCACATTATATTCTCTACTTATAAAAGAAAAGGAAACAACTTCATAAGGTATAGGGTTAGACTAAATATCTGTTGGAATATGAAATAGGCTTAGGGCAAATAAAGGCATCAGAATCGCAAAAGCTTGGTTGTCCTACTAGTGCTTAACTGCTGCAACTTGCCCAAGGATAGTCCCAACCCTACACGAATATCTTGTCACATTTGAGTTTATTCTATTGACTTTAACATAGAATTCAAAAATTTTGTTGGGACATATTTAGCATGTGGAATAAAAAAAAAAAAAAATTAGGTTAGACGTGTTAAGATCAAAACTCTCCCGATAAAGAACAAGTTTAATGATCCAAGATTCTAACACTCGGTAAGATATAAACAATCCTACTTGAATGCTCTCAACTCAACGGGTTTTAAAATCATGAAACTGACGATAATACGTAACGAGCCAAAATAGACAATATCATCTAGCAGTGGGTTTGGGCTGTTATAAATGGTATGAGAGCCCAGACACCGAGCAATGTGCCAGCGAGGACGTTGGACCTCAAGGGGGGCAGATTATGAGATCCCACATCGCTTGGAGAAGATAACGAAACATTCCTTATAAGAGTGTGAAAACCTCGTCCTCGCAAACTTATTTTAAAACTGTGAAGCTGATGATGATACGTAACAAGTCAAAGCAGACAATATCTGCTAACGTACACAACTTTTTATTTGCTTAACATAGAGAATTCATGGCACATACCAGTTATACTCTTTTTCAATAGACATATATATGTATACAAGGTATGTCCTCTTTAGGTACCAACAAAAGAAATCAATACAACTTAATTAGGTTTAACGTGTTATGGCTATTTAAATTTGTAACGACTCATACCTAGGATTCACAATTTGAATTCAGTACCTGATGGTCCCGACATTTACGTGCATCTCTTGTGACATGGTCACATTATTTATTCCTCATTTTTATGACAACACTAGCTTTTCCACGATGCTTTGTCCTCAGTTACATGACCTAGAATTGCTCCAAGCAAAACACATTTAACTATGGAGTTCCTATAATTGAGCTACCGAACAAATAATCAAATTATATCTTATTCAAATTAGATTTGTTTTAGCTTAAGCTATCTAAGTTATTTGAATTTAAGATTTTAGATTGCATAGATCAGTATTTTGTTCGTATACATATTAGAAATTTTTTTAATGAAACCCGGTCTCTATGCATCAATCTCGATTTTTTCGCCTTAAATTTGACATAAACTACCCAAAATATGTGTTGGAATATATAGGGAAGCTAGGGGAACAAAGGCATATGGATGTTTAGGTGCAACTTGGGCTATATAGCAAGACTTGTCACACTTCACTTAATTCTATTGAGGAAAAAAGAGGATTCACTTTAACATCGAATCCACAAATTTTGTTTGGACATGTTTAGTATATTGAAGAAACAACGGATGGTTAGAATCCAAAATTTATTGGTTCATATAACATTCTTTTAAAGCTAGCTTTAGAGTTCATATAGGTTATATTATATTAATCGAGTTATATTTATTTAGTTGAGTTTTTTAAGAAGATTGTATGAAAGTTAGAATAGGAAAGACCGCTAGTAGATATTGTATTGTTTGTTTTGGCCCATACATTCCAGGAAAGACCGCTAGCAGATACTGTATTGTTCGTTTTGGCCCGTTACGTATTGTCGTCAGTCTCACCGTTTTTTAAAAGAAGTCTACTAGAGAGAGATTTTCACACCCTTATAAAAAATGTGACGTCCCCTCTCTAGCTCTTTGAGGTCCAACATTCTCACTAACCCCTCTTCAGCTGATGTGAGATCTCATAATCCATTCTTTTGGAGGCCGAGCGTTCTCATTGACATATCGCTTGATGTTTGATATCATTTGTAACAACTCAAACCCACTGTAAGCAGATATTATTCTTTTTAGGCTTTTCCTTCTAAACTTCCCATCAACATTTTAAAATGTGTCTACTAGTTAGAGGTTTACACATATGTAAGAAATGTTTCGTTCCCCTCTCCAATCGATGTGGGATCTCACAATCTTTACCATCTAACACGAGTTCTTTTAGCATGTTTTTTCTACACACATGCTTTCTAAAAAAAAATTAGGAGATCAGCAAAGACAAGATTGCTCCAAATTAAGCACACTCAAATTTAAAGTTCTTATGATTGAACTATGAAAAACAAAAGTAAAAACGATGCACCTTATTAGTATATACATAGTAACTATGATTTTGTAAGCATTTATTAATCATCATATCTTTAAAACTATTCTCATTTGAATATGATATTAGTTCATTCATGTATACCTCATCATTAGTGAAACAACTTATAATAACTTTCAGTATTGAGTGAATTTATCTAACATAATTAGCTCGAGCTAATTCCAAGCTACAATAGATGATGCAACTAGCTCTTGTTGTCACATAATTTTGCCCGCTATCAAAGTCTTGATTATCAACTTTTGGTAATTAGTCCAGGACTAAAGCTCTCTCATCGAAAATAAACATAGTTATGACTATCAATTTCCTTCGATTCGTAGCTATTTAAGAAATTCTCCATTTAATTTTGAGGACCGAATAAGTATTTTGGTCATAGATGTTCTTAAACTCTTATCTTAAACTAAGTCTAACATGATATAAAATATACAATGTCTAAGGTGGATCGCTTCGAAAATAATAATCATAATATATAGATGGATTGATTAGTTGTCTTTATTAGTAGTATTTGCTGATAAACTTTGGAAGGTCAAATAAGGTGGATCTTATTCGTTCAATGCTACTTTGCACTTAGAAGTACAATTGGAAGCAAATGGTTCTTCGTCTTCCTTCCTTTATTCTTCCATTACTGCATGAGCTAGCTCAATTGATCTTCATGTTTCTCACGACCTGATGTCGAACCTGCACTCATATCAACTGAAATATAGTTCAATTGATTCATGCATAAATACTCGATCAGGAGTACGAGTTCAAATATTCCACCCAAACAAAAGAGCATTGTAAAGTAAGAGTGATTTTGAAGCAAACTAGCATGGTAAAATATTAAATTTACTACTCATTCAAACTATCTCAAGTCTATGACTAGCAGATATTGTTCTTTTGTTATTTCCCTCAAGGTTTTTAAAACGCATCTACTAGGAAAGGTTTTCACACTCTTATAACAAATGTTTCGTTCTCCTTCTCAACCGATGTGGGATCTCACAATCCACTCCCTTTTGGGGCTCAACGTCCTCACTGACACTCGTTTATTTCTTCAATCGACGTGGGACACCTCAATCCACCCCCTAGCATCCATGCTGACACCGCCTCGTGTCTACCTCCCTTCAGAGCTTAGCCTCTTCGCTGGCACATCGTTCAGTGTCTAGTTCTGATACTATTTGTAACAGCTCAAGCTCACCGTTAGCCGTTAGTGTTGTTTTTTAGTTTTCCCTCTCAAAGTTTTTAAAATGTGTTTAGGAGAGGTTTTCAAACCCTTATAAAAAATGTTTCGTTCTCCTCTCCAATCGATGCGGGATCTCACAATTTTCTCTTCAATTAATATTGATATTGTAAGTCAACTAGTACGAAAAGTATTAAATATTGATAAATAGTTAAACTTATCATAATTCATTGACTTAAGCTTTTGAATTCCGTTTATCGAACATATATTACCTTGTTCATCAGCACAATCTCGTAGAGCTTCTATATGGAAAATTAATTTCACCAGACTCAATATGCTTAACATCATTCACAAGAAG